TAAGTGGAAAGAGTAAGGTCTCTGGATACTGCCTCTTCCGTAGTCACATCCTGATTCTATTACTTACTACCTATGTAACCATTGCCAATTACTTAAACTCTCTGGGCCTGTTTTCTCATTGAGTTTAATAATTCCTCCTTCCCAGGGTTTTTGTGACAGTTCAAACTTTCGGGGGTTGACGGTAAAGCTGGAGGGAACTGTGACATCTTATGGCCTAAACTATATTCCCCACCTTCCCCCTACAGGATTCCTGGCTAAAGGAATTCAAAGAACAAAAGCCAAATAGGAGAATTAGTTCTAGAGAGATTGATAGAGAAATTGAGATTTAGATATTTGTCTGACTTCAGAGAATTTTTTTTGATAGACTCTGTCTCTATTAATAGTGTATTAATAATGTATTAATAGTGTCTATTAATAGTTTGAGGAGCACCCAGTTATCCTCCATACAGAGTGTATAACCTCTTACCTCCTTCCCCCTGAAACTAAGATGGCCAGGTGGGCAGAGAAGGCCTTTCAGTGTAGCTCCCACTGTAGTACTTCCTCTTCCTGTCTCAGACCTCTTCATCTGTAAAGTGGGAATAACAGTACTTGCTCAGTGATATTAGCTTTTATTAGTATTATTACTAAGTCAATATAGATAAAAGCTGTAGTACTGAGTTTTTCCTCAGTATAGAAACAAAACAATCCCCCCTTCCCATTTTCAGTGCTGCCAACTTTTTATCAGTACATATAAAATACACCTTTTTAATATATATACTTCTCATATGTCTTTCATCTTTTCTTATATATAAATGCTGTGTGTTTTGCATAAAGGTTTATGGTAACTGTGCTCTGAATCCTGTAATAGAACCCACCCATTTATCATTATGCTTCTTGACTAGACAGGCAGAGTCCCTTGTTGGAGGTTTCCAGGGGTAAGTTATTAGTTCCTGGTGTGCCATGAATGGTAAGCTACAGTATTTGAAGGAAAAAGTGAGCTTTGCATGGAACTTATGCTCCTAAGTTCAATTTATTTATTCTTTCCTTCTCAGTTGACTTTTTGAAGTTCCTTATTTCCTTATCCTTACTTTGTTTCTTCCCAGAAAAACAAACAAACCCTTTTACCAAATTGAGCTTTTTAGCCATGGCCACAGAGATTGTAATCTGTCATCATTTCAGAAATGGACAATATGCATCTGTCTGCTATTTATAACACTGGATAGACATTTAATATGGCAACAATTCATTTATATACTGGAACCAATTATAATTAGACCAAACTTAAGCCAGGTAGGAACTGATGCCTGGGTTCTCCTGACATTCGTTTCCTCAGTCCCTGGCTTTTCTACTGCCTGATGTCACATTTGTCCAAAGAGAAAGGTAGAGCCTCCCACTTCCTAAGCAAACTGGAGGATCAGGGTGATGTCTTCTCCCAAGTGGTTTTAATGGTTTCTCTGATCCCCAGCATTATGAATGCAGCTTTTAAGGAGTAAAAATGGAGCAAGTAGGATGGTTAAGTCATGGACACAGGGGCTCAGGGGAGAAGTGACTTGATTCAAATACCATCTACAATCTAAAAAAAAAAAAAAAACTTCATTTTCATATTCACCCCCAACCTCAGAGTACATTCTTAGAACTTATCCATGACTCAGAGATCTGTGGTTTTGCTGGTAGGCATGTGTGCAATCTTATATTAATCTGCTTAACCATACAAAGGTAAAGCCACATTCAGTGGTGTGTGGAACTTTATAGTGTTATTTGGTGTTGGTCACATATATAGAGGATTTTCTGTTTCAGGATTAGGTTTTAAGAAAATTAACTAGCTAGGTTTTTTCATCTTCATCAAGGAAGTTTAAAGCCTAATCCTGTCATACTTTGAAGCCTCTTAGTTTCAAGTTTGGGATTTTTTAAAATTAAATAATTCAAAACATCTTTATTAGATTTCTGTTATCTCAAGATAAAAAATTTTAAAGCTTTAACCCAGATTTCCAGTATATAAACCTTATACATATTTTTAGAAGATCTAGGGTTGGATTTAGTGTTCCTTGAAAAATTAAAAATAGAACTACAATACAATCCAGCAACTCCCCTTCTGTGTATTTACCCAAAGAACACAAAAACACTAGTTTGAAAAGATATATGCACCCCTATGTTCAAGATATGGAAGCAACCTAAGTGTCCATCAATAGATGAATGTGTAAAGAATATACAGTGGTGTATGCAGTCGTACCTTGATATCCACTGGGGATTGGTTCCAGGACCTGCCTCAGATACCAAAACTCCATGGACGCTCAAGTACCATAGTTGGCCCTCTGTATCCATGGTCCTGCATCTGTGAAATCAACCAACCACAGATTGTGTAGCACTGTAGTTTTTATTGAAAAAAATCCACGTATAAGTGGACCCGTGCAGTTGAAACCTGTGTTGTTTAAGGGTTAACTGTATTTACAATGAAATATTACTCAGTCATAAAAAAAAGAGTGAGCTCTCAGCATGTGCAACACCGTGGCTGGATCTAGAGGATATTATGCCGAGTGAAGTAAGACAGAAAGACAAACACCATATGATTCACTTATACTTGGAATCTAAAAACAACAAAACAAAACAGAAGCAGACTCACAGATACAGAGAACAAACTGGTGGTTGCCAGAGGGGAGAGGGGTGTATAGCTGGATGAAATAGATGAAGGGGATTAAGAGGTACAGATTTCTAGTTATAAAGTCACGGGGATGTGATACACGGCATAGGGAATATAGTCAATAATATTGTAATAACTTGTTACTAGACATGGTGATTATTTCATAATGTATTTAAATGTCAAATCACTATGTTGTACCCTTGAAACATTATATTGTACATCAACTGTACTTAAGTTTTTTAAAAAATCTGATTTTCAAGTATACTTGACAGATATCACTTACTATTGCAGTAGTTATTTTGTCATTTATTGATTCCCAGGAATCCTGAAGGAAAGAAACTCAAACTATACCCTCAGATTACTGTCAAAAATAAATTCCTATATGAATTCTCACTTTGAATTTTATAACCATATCTACTTTAAAATAGGCCTCCCTTCTAGCCAAATGGTGTTTTTGTGGTTTCTTTGGTTCATTTTTAATGAACTGTCATACAAAGAACAGAGCTAAGCCTGCTGGGAAGCTGGCTACACCCCTGCCCTTAGGGTGTCCGTGCCCTCAGATGAAAAACCCCTGCTCCTTTGAGGACATCTCACAGAGCTCTCGTGCGGTCACCATCACCCCACCACCAGGACCAGAGAAGGTCAGCTGCCTTTGACCTTGAGCGCTCTTCAGGGGTGTCTGCTCTGCTTCTCGGCGCTCCGTTCTTCCCCGTGTCTAACATAAGCACATCAGATGAATACCTGCGATTACCTAGAACTTATGAAGGAGGTAAAGGCCGAATCATACTCTTAAGATTGCAACCCAACAGTAAAAGATAAAGTGCTGCCCTGGTCAGAGGGAACCATGGGGAGGAAATATTAACCAGAGCGGCTTTGATTTTAGACTCATCTCTGCAGGAACCCAAAATAGTCCCTAACTTCAGTTGGTGCCAACTATCCGTACACAGTTCCTTCACCCTCACCCTCCGTTTTCTTATGGTTCTAGAATGTATCCCACTCTCCACCATGCCTCTCCTATAATGACTTCCCTTTTCGTGCAGGTAAGTATGGAAGGAGTTATTAATGACTCATATTCCACTCTTTTCACCCACACCCCGCACGCCCTGGTGCCCAGTAGAAGTTAGGGGAAGTGACACAGCAAAGTGACCATTGAGCTTCATAACAGCACAATCTACACAATCTGTTACATCCTCTGCTTCCCCCTCTCCTACCCCTTGCCCTCTTGTTCCCCTTATCAGGGGCACTGTGAGACGCAGGGCCTTCCCCTGCACTGACCAAAGAAAAGCAAGAGATGGAAAGCAGAGATTACCTGTACCTCTGGACGTGTATAACCTGATTTGGTGGTCCCTTACTCTGTAAAAGGCAGGCTTCATCTGAGGCAGTTTCGGAAGGGTGTTCTGGCGTGCTCTCCACAGCAGTTGCCCTGTGTGCCTGCATATTTTACATAGTTGAAGTGTTATGCCACATGCAGCTACCTCCTTGTTTTCCATGTACACAATAAGCATTTTTCCACATTACTAAGAACTGTCTCATAACCTCATTCTTAATGGCTGCATGTTCTCCAGTTATATGGATGCACCGTAATTTACTTAGCCGCTTTCCCACATCTGGACATTAAAGACATATTCCAGGTTTTGAAAAACAAACCTCAAATGCTAAGTCGTGAGCATTTGCAGATGCTCAACTCAAAACATCTGACCTGTACGTCCCCTCTGCTTTCTGCCCCTAATCCTAAATTTGAAACTCCATTCCTTTCTTCTTCAAGAGCCCTTATCAATTTCTCAATTCGGCCTCTTCCTGATCCACTTGTACGTGTCACCTCCTGGACGCTCTGCTCCTGCAAAGTTCTTGCTAGTCTCCTAAGGGGACCCACCCCAAGGGGTAGTGGCGTCACAAGGGTGGGGTGGCCGCACCTCCCTCCTGGCATCCGGGCCTTAGATCAGCTACACCCACGCACCCTTCACCAGCGCCGCTTACCAGATATATCAGAGAGGGCCTCTAAAAAGAGGTGGCGCAGGGCACACCTCCAAGTACCCACTGGAGCTGGTGTTTAGCTAATTGGAGTCTAATTGCCTCTTAGCACTGTCATCCATCTCTCCCAACACTTCTGCACCTGTTGCCAAGCCTGTGAACCGCCGTTCTGATTGGTTCCAAGTGATAAACACACTCCAGGCACCACTCACATGGAGAGAGGAGAGAGGGGTGCAGGGCCTCTTCTTCCACAAGAGTCCTCATTTAACACTCCTGAGGCATCTGTGACCTGGCTAACCCATTTCTTCCTCTAGAGACCACGGCAGACGGGGGGCCTTCATACATCTGTGTTTGTTCCACATGGTATTTTGAAAAAGAAAGAAGAAAACAAACAGCTGTAAACACTGAAATTTTGGATGATTTTGCATAAAAATCTAGTTATTTGACTTTTCTTTTAAAAGGGGGAGAGCTGGCAACCAGGCATTCTGCATCCCAGGAGCGCGGTGTGTGGCTGTGACCCTGTGCCTTTGGGCAGGGCGTGCGTCTCCAGCCTGTTAGAGGCCCCACCTGGCCCACCCCGCCCTGTTCCCCTCAACTCCAGAGCCCCCGGAAGCCTGCGTGGCTTGACCCTGTGGAGACCTCACGTGTAGTCCGTCTGCTTCCAGAGCAGAAGGGGTGGGGATTTTTAGGGGAAGAGAAGCAGCGCCATGGGAAGGGGCTTGTCAAACAAGAGGTCCAAATACTTGACCCCAGGGCATGTTTATGACCTGTGCAAACTTGGATTGTTTTTATCCCCTCAGAGAACAGACTCGACATTCTGAAGGCCAGTGACAGCTGCAGTCTCACTGTCAAGTGTCAGGAATCTTGGAAACCCAAACAGCTGTAAGCCGTACCCATGCCCGTACCCACGCCATCCTGCTGATAGAAGTGGGCTGGGGCTGGCAGCACCCTGAGGGGACTGTAGGAATTTAGGACATCCTTTCTTGGCTGGATCAGGAATGCAGCCCTTCTCCTGAGGCCAAAAATATCCTCCGCACCCCCTTTATCCCGTGATTCAGGAGCTCTTATGGAATACGCGACCCTGCTAACCCAAGCGATTACACTCTGCTCTTTGAGAAGCAGAGAATTCTAACACCTGCCAAACTCCCGGGATAACCTGATCAACCACGATTTTCTCTTTGTAGCCAACCCTTCAGCTATGAGTCTCCTCATTTAAAGAGGCTCAGAGAATTAAAAGTTTCAATCCACTCAGTGGAAACAGCCCTGAAGAGAAACAGCCTGCTCCTAAATGTTTCATTGACATAACGCACCAAAGGAGAGTACGTTCCTCACATCCCCCAGCGTGCGGAGGCCCAGGTAAGTCTCCGCACCTCAGACCGCCAGGGAATGCACAGACCAGGAGCTAAAGTGCGGCTACAGCACAGGAATGGTTGCCAAACCTTGTTTTCTCTAGAGGTGACTAACCCAGGACCAAAAAATGCCGGAACTCCCCACCTCCCTGCCATGGTTGAAGAGGAATATAATATCAATAAGAGACCCAAACAAACAAACAAAAATGCCTTCAGTTTCTGAGAAGACAAGGCAGAGCATGAAAGGGAAAGAGGAAGGAAAAATCATTCAGGACTCAGGACATGAATGTCCACAAAGTCATCGGACACAGGAACAGTGGGCCTGGGCAAAAGCTCACGTTGGTAGGACCAATAAATAAAGAAACTACAGATTAGCAGATGCAAAGTATTACGTATATGTATAACTGAATCATTCTGCTGTACACCTGAAACTAACACAACATTGTAAAGCAATCTGTACTTCAATGAAATAAAATTTTTTAAAAAGAACAATGCAAAGACAAAAAACAATACAAAGACAAAAAGAAAAGGGACATCTGTCTTTGGGGCAGATATTGCAAGTTATTTACCCAATATCCAGCTACCCCTTCTGCCCTATTTACAGAACCCAATTTTGTTCAGGAGGACAATGTACCAAGCTTAAAATACTCCAATTCCCTGGCTTTCGAAGTCGGTGTTACCACTCTATAGAAGTTCATGGGAAGGGCATCCGTTAATAAACAAAAAGGCAGAGACCTGCTGGAAGGCCTTTGGCCCTTCCCCTTTTCATTTTCTTTCTTTTCCCTACCTCAGATGTTGCTATGGGCCCCAGAAGTGCAGGAGCCCTCTTGCAGCCAGAAGTACGAACATGAGAATGAGAGCCTCCACATTCAGCACAGTGGAGCAGAAAGGTGGAAAGAACCTGGATCCCACAATGAACCGAAGGATCAGCCCTGTACTGAGGAACCTCAGATAATGCAGGAGACACACACCTGCTTGTTTAAACCCCTAGAGCAAGGTGTTCCGTTGTTTGGATTGGAATGAAATCTTGGTTCACATGGCTAGTCACTAAAGCATGGAGACCTCCCTAGAACAACATTTTATGCTTACAGGTTATGGCCACAGAACTCAGGAAGACAAAGCCCGGAGGACTGAAACAACTGGGGCTGCCAGCTTTAACCCTCAAAGTTCAGAAAAACCCCAAACAGCCTGACTTGCTGACCTAGCAGCCTTCCTCACTACACAAAGATCTACTGAGCACATACTGGGTACATCAGGCACCATGTTGGACTATGGACAGAACAAGGAGATAGATAGGTTCCATTGGGGGAGAAGATGAGAAACATATTTATCTGACTACCATAGTAAGGCAAACAAGTAAGGATATTAACTGACGTATAAACAGAGTCATAGGGGTTCTGTAGAGAGACGACTCAGCTCCGAGCATCCTGGAGTAGAAGCTAAGAGATAGGGAAGGAAAAAGAGAGCAGAGCAGACCAGATGGGATGGGGCCTTGGACATTTTAACTTGTTATTATGTAGTGGAAAACCAAAGTTTAAACAGACGATCGGCGTATTTGCTTTATGTTCTGATCTAGAACCAGAACTATTGCTAGTGGAAGAGAGACTAATAGCAGAGATTCATAGGTAATTGTGATGAGTTCCTAGTGTTGGGAGACAATTTTCCATGGGTGTCTCATGTTTCTATACTTCTGTGAAGAGCTTTCATCTCAAACTATCTCTTGGAGGATGTTTATGTAACAGCCTTGTAAGACAGAGGTAGGGTCTCCTTCTGAGGGCAGGGGCATACTTTTGTACTGTGTGAGATAATAAAAACACCTCCCTCGGGGCAAAGTTTGGTCGGGATTGTTTGCAGACTCCTTAGAAAATTGGGGGATACCTGGGAATTCCCTGGCGGTCCAGTGGTTAGGACTCCAGGCTTTCACTGCTGAGGCCTGGGTTCGATCCCTGGTCAGGGAACTAAGATCCCGCAAGCCGGGAGGCGCAGCAAAAAAAAAAAAAAAAGTTGGGGGATCCCTGAGCTCAGTGCACCTTGCAGCAGAGACAGTGTGTGTGCAGTAGCCACCTGGGTCACTGTCCTCTGAGGGACTAGGGGCTCAGGAACTATCACAAACATGAAGCTCACACCATCTGCAAGGCCGTCCTTTGTCTCTGACCCAGAAGTCTCACGCCTCCTGCGAGCATTGGTGAAACCGAGGCAAGCTAAGCAGTTAGCCTGCGAGAAGGTAAAGCCTCTGAGCCTTCACAGTTCTTGGTACTTGAACTAGGACTAGAGAGACGGCGAAGGTCTAAGATATGTGTGTGGGGTGGAGATTGGAATCAAAGATGATTCCCAGGGCCTCCCTGGTGGCGCAGTGGTTGGGAGTCCGCCTGCCGATGCAGGGGACATGGGTTCGTGCCCCGGTCCGGGAAGATGAGCCATGGCCGCTGAGCCTGCGCGTCCGCAGCCTGTGCTCCGCAACGGGAGAGGCCACAACAGTGAGAGGCCCTCGTACCGCAAAAAAAAAAAAAAAGATGATTCCCAAATGTCTGCGCTGGGAGACAGGGCAGTGGCGACGTGAACTGAGAGCAGGAACAAAGGAGGAGCAGCCTCCTGTAAAGGAACGTGAGCTGGGCTGAGGTGCTTAGGGACCTTGAGGAGACGTCCAGGGGGCACTTCCTCATTCCAGCTGAGCCTTCACTGCAGGTGCTGCTCCACACACAGATGGAGCCCCTCAGCCCACAGCCCTCCCTTCAGCGCTTCCTAATTCACATGGCATTGTGTCACATCGGAGTCCCCAAGAGACACCAACAGACCCCTCTAAGAAAAGAAAAAGGGGTGATTTACCCAAAACTTACAGAATCAAATCTTTGGAGCTGGAGCCTGGGCATCTGAAGTCCTTAAAGCTCCAAAGGTGATTTCCGATCTGCAGCCAGAATGGAAAAGCATTGTTCTATTAGAATGAAGGGCAAGCAAACGTTCCTTGAAGTCCTGAGAGAGAGGCTGACCTAGCCAACAAAAGGGTCATCATCCTATTTGGGCAAGCAGGTGGCCGTTTACTGCATCAGTAACCCAGGATTACTATTCTACTTCCATCCTTTTTGAGGCCCCTCATTTCTGACCCAGGGACCCATTATCACTTGCCAAGTAAACTGCTGCACTTAGAGCAAGCCAACTTCCTGAGCTGTTCAACTCCAGATGTGGTCTATGGTAGACATCTCCCAGAATGGTACCCTGAACTACCTGGAATCTATGCTGCCTGACACATCCTCTGGAGAAATCACCTGGATACCCTCACGCTTGCTTAGTCTTACTGGGCACAGCCCGGAAACAACCATCCACCACAGCAGCCTGTCCTCCATCACCCTGATGGAAGGCCCGGGCGTCAGGAGCCTCTTGCTGATAGTCTGGGGCCCTGAGCAGCTAGAGAAGGCAAAGGGAGTTGCTGCATTCCTGAGGGGCACAGAGCCTTCCTCATAAGCTTTCCATGTGTCCAGGTGAGCCTGACAGCCTTACAGTCATGGCTGACTCATGACTTCCGCTTGTCTTGGAAAGCTTGGTCTCCCTTTGCCCTGCAGGACATGAAGGGTAGCCACCTACTCCAGCACATACACCTTTTTTTAAAAAAAATTATTTTTGGCTGCATTGGGTCTTCGTTGCTGTGCGCGGGCTTTCTCTAGTTGCGGCGAGTGGGGGCTACTCTTCGTTGTGGTGCGCGGGCTTCTCATTGCAGTGGCTTCTCTTGTTGCGTTGCATGGGTTCTAGGCATGCGGGCTTCAGTAGTTGTGGCTTACGGGCTCAGTAGTTGTGGCTCACAGGCTCTAGAGCGCAGGCTCAGTAGTTGTGGCTCACGGGCTTAGTTGCTCCATGGCATGTGGGATCTTCCTGGACCAGGGACCGAACCTGTGTCCCGTTCACTGGCAGGAGGATACTTAACCCCTGCGCCACCAGGGAAGTCCTCCAGCACATACACTCTTACTACTGGTTGAACGTAAAAGCATGAGATTCATGAGGGTCTCAATTCAGTCTGGCAATCCTGCACGAGTTTTTCTCAGCTTAACTGTGATCCCACCTCCTGGCAACATAGCTCTTTCAAAAAATGTTGAGTTCAGAAATCCTGCAAGCCTGGAAAAAACTCAGAATTCATTAGCAAAATAATGTCTTCCAAGGCTTAATCCTCACCCACCTTTGCCTTTCCTGTTTGATGCTTAAATAGGATTGGTGGGCGGGGGAGATGGAGGTGCCCTGGGAGGATTAGGCACTTGCTGTACTCAGTGCACAGCCCTGAGCCCATCCAGGGTTGGCTGACAGATGCCAGGGTCAGTTCCTCTTTGAAAAAGCCATATTACAGGAAAAGAGAAATAGTTTTCTTTTTCAGAATAAAAGTCCATCCGTTAGGTGAGCACATACTCTCTACACAGAAACAAAGGTATGCTCATCCCCTTTGGCTTGCTCAAAGCAGTAGCCTGGTCTGGGTGCTAGAGACATAGAGGTTCCTGATTCCACGGAAAAGAGATGCCAATCAGGTAAGTTCTTCCAGAGAGGATGCTGCAGGAGCACATCTTGGTGTGGAGAGGAGGGGGCTATTGGAGCTCCCTGAGAAAGCTGATTTAGGTGAGATCTGAAGCATGAATGGGATTTGGGGAAGAAGGGCAGTTCAACACTTTTCATCTTTGCAACGTCCCTGTGGTATAGGCATGACTATCTCCATCTCATGAGGGAGGCTCTGAGGATAGGAGAAAGTCACATGTCTAAGGTCACACCCACACTATAACCAGTGGCTAAGCTCTGAGTCCAACCAGCACACACACTGTCTGTGACTTTCTTACTTTGCCACGCATGGGTTTCCTTTGCTAAAGCAACCTGAGGAGCTTTTTCACTGAGTACAGATTGTACGATATTCTTCAGGCTTAGTGACTGACCAGCCTCCTAGGTTCTCCCCAGAGACTGAGTCATTAAGGCATTTGTTCCCATGTCCAGCTTGACTCCAGGTCTTTCCATGACAGAGTCAATAAAGGAATCAAATCTACTCCAGCCTTTGCTCTGCACTGCAGTGAAAGGAGTAAGCCCTGCCTTACTCTTCGTTCTGGTTTTAGTACCTCCCGCTCTTCCCTCTCTCGCTCTAGAACTTAGTAGAATGTTTGATATACGTGAGGCTCAAAAAATGTGCACTAAGCTTGAGAAACAGCAGACACAGGGAGGGCTCTGGGACTCCCCCTTTCTACCTAAAAGCAGGACATGAAATTTCCCCTGAGAAAGGTGCCCTCCCTGTACCAGGAAGAACATTCATATCACCAGAGACTGGGAGGCAATGCTGAAATGCACCTGTACAAACACACCTACTAAAATGACCTTCCATTCGTTTCCCGCATTTAGCTGCTAGTGACTGTCCCACAATATACTGCTCATAGCACCAGCCCCTCTGTCTTGTCACATCCCCACAATTTATTGTTCGCTGTGTAACGAGGTATTTAAGCTTTTGGTCCTAATGACTTCTGGTCTTCATTTTCCTGTTGAAGACTCCCATGTACATGCAAAAAAATTAAATTTGTATGCTTTTTTTCTTGTTTTAAAAAAAAAAGTGTGCTAAGAGTCCTCATTACCAATTAGCATCAGTAGAAATTAAATTAGAACATGAAGCCAGAGTCCTGAGATGATCTTTCCTAAAATGGCCTGACAGAACCTTGAGAGCCATTTTCTCATTTAAGTTCTCACACTCCAAGCAGAAGACAGGGGTAGAGCATGCAGCTCTGCACTCCAGACACCACAATGGTAATTAAATACCTCCATGGCAACAGGTCTGGGTTTGTGGTGTAACTGGAATTCTATTTTTGTTACGTAAACAAAAATGCTGATCTGGAGACACTAATCTTTCCTCTTGATTTGGGTGCAAATCTTGACTTAAACAATTTTCACTTTAAAATTTAAATGTCTACGGTAAGGCATTCATTTAGTGCCACAAATGAGATGTTTTTAATCCTTTGATCCAGTCATTCCACTACTAGGGCTCTATCAATGTGCAAAGTATAAGAAATATATAAGAAAGTTCACTGTGGAGACTGGTTCAAGATGGTGGAGTAAAAGGATGTGCACTCACTCCCTCCTGAGAGACACTGGAATCACAACTAACTGCTGAACAATCATCAAAAGGAAGGCACTGGAACTCACCAAAAAGATACCCCACATCCAAAGACAAAGGAGAAACCACAATGAGATGGTAGGAGGGGCGCAATCACAATAAAATCAAATCCCATAACTGCTGGGTGGGTGTCTCACAAACTGGAGAACAATTATACCACAGAAGTGAAGGTTCTGAGCCCTGCATCAGGCTTACTGACCTGGGGGTCTGGCAATGGGAGGGGGAATTCCCAGAGAATCAGACTTTGAAGGCTAGCAGGATTTGACTGCAGGATTTTGACAGGTCTGGGGGAAACAAAGACTCCACTATTGGAGGGCACACACAAAGTAGTGTGCACATCAGGACCCATAGGATACTGAACCAGACCTACCTGTTAGCGTTGGAGGGTCTCCTGCAGAAGCAGGGGATGACTGTGGCTCACCGCGGGGACAAGGACACTGGCAGCAGAAGTTCTGGGAAGTACTCCTTGCTGTGACCCCATTAGCCCCACCAAAGTGTCTGTGGGCTCCAGTGCTGGGTCACCCAGGCCAAGCAACCAACAGGTAAGGAACTCAGCCCCACCCATCAGCAGACAAGCGGATTAGAGTTTTACTTAGCTCTGCCTACCAGAAAAACACCTAGCTCTACCCACTACCAGTCCCTCCTAACAGTAAGCTTGCACAAGCCTCTTAGATAGCCTCATCCACCAGAGGGCAGACAGCAGAAGCAAGAAGAACTACAATCCTGCAGCCTGTGGAATGAAAACCACATTCACAGAAAGATAGACAAAATGAAAAGGCAGAGGACTATGTACCAGATGAAGGAACAAGATAAAATGCCAGAAAAACAAATAAATGAAGTGGAGATAGGCAACCTTCCAGAAAAAGAATTCAGAATAATGACAGTGAAGATGATCCAGGACCTCAGAAAAAGAATGGAAGCAAAGACCAAGAAGATGCAAGAAATGTTTAAAAAAGACCTAGAAGAATTAAGGAACAAACACCTAGAAGCACTAAAGAACAAACAAACAGAAATGAACAATACAATAACTGAAATGAAAAATACACTACAAGAATCAATAGCAGAAGAACTGAGGCAGAAGAACAGATAAGTGATCTGTAAAACAGAATGGTGGAATTCACTGCCACAGAAGAGAATAAAGAAAAAAGAATGAAAAGCAATGAAGACAGCCTAACAGACCTCTGGGACTACTTTAAATGCACCAACATTTGCATTATAGGGGTCCCAGAAGGAGAAGAGAGAGAGAAAGGAGCTGAGAAAATATTTGAAGAGATTATAGTTGAAAACTTCCCTAACATGGGAAAGGAAACAGCCACCCAGGTCCAGGAAGCGCAGAGTCCCAGGCAGGATACCCTAGGAGAAACACACTGAGACACATAGTGATCAAATTGAAAAAAATTAAACACAAAGAAAAATTATTAAAAGCAACAAGGGAAAAATGACAAATAATATACAAGGGAATTCCCATAAGGTTAACAGCTGATTTCTCAGCAGAAACTCTACAAGCCAGAAGGGAGTGACATGATATACTTAAAGTGATAAAAGGGAAGAGCCTACAACCAAGATGACTCAACCTGGCAAGGATCTCATTCAGATTCAATGGAGAAATCAAAAGCTTTACAGACAAGCAAAAGCTAAGAGAATTCAGCATCACCAAACCAGCTCTACAACAAATGCTAAAGGAACTTCTCTAAGTGGGAAACACAAGAGAAGAAAAGGACCTACAAAAACAAAAACAAAACAATTAAGAAAATGGGAATAGGAACATACATATCGATAATTACCTGAAATGTGAATGGATTAAATGCTCCAACCAAAAGACAAAGGCTTGATGAATGGATACAAAAACAGGACCCATATGTATGCTGTCTACAAGAGACCCACTTCAGACCTAAGGACACATACAGACTGAAAGTGAGGGGATGGAAAAAGATATTCCATGCAAATGGAAATCAAAAGAAAGCTAGAGTAGCAATGCTCATATCGGACCAAATGGACTTTAAGATAAAGAATGTTACAAGAAACAAGGAAGGACACTACATAATGATCAAGGGATCAATCCAAGAAGAAGATATAACAATTATAAATATATATGCACCCAACACAGGAGCACCTCAATACATAAGGCAAATGCTAACAGCTATAAAAGAGGAAATCGACAGTAACACAACAATAGTGGAGGACTTAACACCTCCTTACACCAATGGACAGAGCATCCAGACAGAAAATGAATAAGGAAACACAAGCTTTAAGTGACACAATAGACCAGACAGATTTAATTGATATTTATAGGACAGTCCATCTGAAAACAGCAGATTACACTTTTTTCTCAAGTGCACATGGAACATTCTCCAGG